TGATTTAAATAATATGGGTACAGATCTAATTCATAAGTTGCTTCTGGGGCTAGTAGGAAGTTTGAGGAAGAAATTTTCATTAGAATTAAAAACTTTAATTATAGACATAATAATTCAGACTTAGAAAGAACTTCTTTTTTTTTTTTTAATTACCTGGTGAGCTGCTGTTTGAGTTGAGAATTTGGTGGAGGTGATTCACACACTGAAATCTGCATTTGTGAGGTTATTTTTATTTCAAGCCATTTTTCTGCCCTCCCACCTCTAAAGAGTCATTTTGGACTTTTTGATACAGAGCTTTTATCATCTTGAAATTTGACTACTTTTTTTTTTTTCTTGGAACTTTAGGGTATTGTTAGAGTCTCGCCGTAAATCAAAGAAAATTACAGCAAGAGGAATCTTTGCAGGTGCCAGGGTGGTACGAGGAGTTGACTGGCAATGGGAAGATCAAGATGGTGGCAATGGGCGTAGGGGAAAGGTAAAAACAAGACTGGCTTAAATAAGATAATGCATATCTGGATGTTTATGTAATGCCCTCAATGACCTTTTTAATTATAGAGTAAAAAGATCAGCATCAGTTCAATATATTAATTTTCTAGGCACTTCTGAATTATATTCTGTAATGCTAAAGCAGCTAGAAAAAGGAGGTGTTATATATTTTGACCAAGTAATTTATGTTTGCATTTTTACAGTATCAACACTTCAAAAAATGGATAAAGTATTGTTCTGGTTGTTCTGTTGAAGACTGGCTTATTACAACGCTATGATCTTGGGTATATTTCAGCATTACTAGAGAGCTGGTATAACAACAGTGTTCTCAAGCATAGCCCTTCCCAGTCAATCATTGCTGCATTCCTGGGCAATATGGTCTAGGTGACCCTGCTTGAGCAGGGAGGTTGGACTAGATGATCTCCAGAGGTCCCTTCCAACCTAAACGATTCTGTGATTCTGTAGTCTGACTGCTTGTGGGTCACCACCTTTGTATATACCTGGCTCTAGCTTTTAAGTGCTTGTACCCTGGATTTTTGTTTCTCATACAACAATTAGAGACTTTTCCAGTTTGAAACCAAGAACTTTGCAAGTGTTGGTTGCAGGTATTATATTATTGTCTAATTTAGGACCTCATATGAATATTGTTGATATAGTTGCATAGTGAAAATGTGAAAATAATTGGGATTATGGAAAACTGGATTGCTTGGAAGGATACATTGCTAATCATAACCTGTGCATGTTTTCTACAACTAACACTTCCCTGGAGAATTAATAGAGGCTTGTTACAAGTGTGAGCATACTGTAGGGAGTGTAAGATACACTGTAACTGTTAGCACTGTACAAGGGGGATCTTAGAATGAGAATTGAATGCCCTAATATCTTGGTGAGCTGATGTTTTAGTTGCATTTATTTTTAGTATATTTGAAGAGCATTTAAAGTAAAATGAGAAGTTCCTGAATAAGAAGGGCTATTTTATAGCCTAGATAGGCTTTAGGACTTTGAAGATTTCATTTTGGATTTTCCTGGAAGGAAATTATAGGTTTAATTCTCTTAAAGCAACAACAAAATGCCACCCATATCTTGATTATTTACCCCTTGCTGTGAATTTGGCAGGATATTTTGAAACCTCTGAAACCTTGCAAAATAAGAGTCTTATCCTGAATGGTCTGCTTTATGTACTAAATTTGAGTTAGCGGGATTCTTTGTGAGCTGAAAATGTGTGTAAATGCATATTAAAAGTGTTTTCAAGATGGGTATAAAGTAAGAAAAGGAACTAGTAGATACCAGAAGTAGCTTTTAAATAAATACCCAAAGAAAGATAAGAATGAAGACAAATTCTGGAAGTTGATTCTTTGAAAACACATTCATTACTCGATCTGGTGTGCAGCCTTGTGAATTCAGAAGCGGTAGGAAAAGTCCTTTTCACTTTATTGTCTCCTGTTGCCAAACAGATTGGCATTGGAAGTAAAATTTTGCCACCAGGCATCAGGCAGGTTAAACAAGACAAAATGGAGTGATGAAAGTAGTTTTCGTACTGGCTTTTTTGGTGGGGAGGGGGGAGGGGGAATATTTTTTTCTAGTAAGAACATGTCAAAACGACCTAAAGTAAACTTTTACAATACGGATTTTGTTCTGTATTTATGTTAATAGATTAGCCATCGAACACATAAAAGAAAAATAGGCCTACAAAGTAAATATTAAGGCTGTAGTCATTATTAAGTCAAATAGGGAACACTTTTACCAAACAGGAAAAACTCTTCAGAATAAATTTTTGAATTTCGGTAAAACTGCTGTAGTCCACCTTTGTCCTAAGGGATGAATGAAATTTTAAGTTCAAATGTGTTTCTGAATCTTTGGTATAGAATCAATTTTCTCATTTTTCAAAATTAAATAGGTAACTGAAATCCAGGACTGGAGTGCGTCAAGTCCACATAGTGCAGCATATGTTCTGTGGGACAATGGTGCTAAAAACCTTTACAGAGTTGGCTTTGAGGGCATGGTAAGTATAGAAGAACACAAAGGGTAAAACGCTTTGTGGGGGAAGGGCAGTAAGAATAACTTGTGCTTTATTCTCTGCCTTTTGTAATATTCTTAGTCAGTTTGCATGCTATTAGTCAGGTCATTGTGAATACAGCTGTATAGATCATGCATATGTATTAGGAAGAAAGTCTGATCTAAGATTTTATCGAACATGCAAATAATTTACACTTTAGAGCTGGTTTCTGTCTGAGTATAGTAAATATGTACATTTTGCATACATAATTTTCATACTGTGCTGGTATTGTGCCTATATTAAAATTCACCAAAGAAAAAAATAGCACTTTTTCATGAACTTTTAAAGACGATTTCTTTAACTCCTGAACTCTGAAGTGCATTGTAACTTCAAATTTTGGTCTGAGTGATTCCTGCAAGATTTGCAGTTTTTTAATTATGCGAAACACTTTAAAAAAAAAAAAAAAAGGATCACAAGAGGATTTTGTCAGTGGGAAGATGGTGAATTATTTTACAACCTAATTTGCTCTAGCATGGTTTGTGGGTGGTTTTTTTTGTTTTTTCATTTCATAGCTTCTAAAGCTACTACAGCTATAGAGAGAAAATGGGTCAGCCTCTAGTGTAAGTGCCTTCTGTTGCTGGTTTTTCTTACCCTAATGTGGGTCAAGGAAAGGTTGCTTTGATTATCAGCTGCTATAACATCTTAATTAGTATTTTCTTTGCATCATTTCTGTTTGGTACTGCAGAGGAAAGCCATGTTAACTTAACATTGGAATGTCATTTTGTCAGACATATATCGGTAACAAAATACTAAAGTTAACAATGACCCTTCTGCTTTTTTCAAAGTAAAATATTTAGCCTTATGGTGTTGCGTACGAGGTTTATGTTTATAATCTTAAAAAAGACATAGTAAGTATTTTTTGCAGTAAATACGTATTTTAATGTCAGATTTAACAAAAGAGTAAATATCTTTAGTGCAGTTCAGCTTTTCTGATGCATATCTTGGAAAATTCACTGTCGTGTATGGTTTCTTCAACAACCTGAAAGAGGAGAATAAAATGTAGGTCGCAAAATGGCATGAACTCTCTTGCGGTCCTGCTAGTTCTAAAGAAGATTTCTTGTATAGTGGCAAAGGGAAAAGAAAGTTAAATATAGTATGATGTGATATATTACTATTAAACCAATGGTTAATGTCCTTCCCCCAATATTTGATTGTGATGCATAAAAAAAGGAGCACAACTACCAAGATGTAGATAGAACGAGATACAGTTCAACTGGATGCATTTGTTGTGATTGCAGAGTTACTATGTTGAAATTTGTAGACTGTGTAGTACAGGAGATCATGTTAGAGAATCGTTAAGATTCCTTCTGGCCTCAGAATTTATCCTAATTTATCCTAAATTAGGATAAAATATTTCAGAATAAAAGACAACTTATTTCCTAAATAAACATATATTTACTGTTGATAAATCAACTATATTGTTGCCTATCTATTGCCATAAAAAAGGGTTAAATTTCTGAAATACTTGATTAATCACTACAACTGTAAACGGAATGATGGAGAAGCAAAGGATAACCCTTTTCAAAAACTTGTATAAATAGAAATATTTGGTCAGCCATTTAGGAATTAGCAACACTTTAAAAAACTGTTAAAAGTGTTTATAAAACTAACTAGGTATGTATAAAGGATAATCTGAGGCTTTATATGTAATGTTTTTCTGGCTGTAATCCATTTCTATATTTACTTTCTTTGTCAGATACTTCTATCAACTGTAATTATCACTTCAAACAGAATGACTTCTTGGGTATCTGTGACAGAAAGTCATTTAAATGTAAAGCTAAATTTAAAAACTGAATAGTTGCTTGCTAATGTGTATGTTCCATTATGATTCTCTGCTAGCATTTAAGTGCTGTTATGTATAGTTGGCTAATAGACTGTTAGAAAGCCCGTATAAAGTTGGGGCAAACTTATCTTGGGACTTAGGAATTGATTAAGAATGCCCAGAAAATGTGGGATCAACAGTACTCAGAGTGTGTGCCCAAGTAAATACAGCTGGGAAGAAACCCATGCTTGCAGATGAATACCACTTGACTCAGACACAAATGGAGCTGATTAAAGAAACACAGCTTATTATCTTAAGTAAGGGTTGCTTATTTCATAGCTGACAGGCTGCATCTGGTCATCAGAATGAGTTTATCCAGCCTGCCAGCTTTTCCTTGGAAAAGACGAGGATTGGCTGTTAGGGTAGCAGGTGCTGGCTGAAAACTGTCATTTACTTGTGGTCAGATGTTTTAGAGTTTGCTGTTGCTGTGTTTATATGGGAAGTGGTTGAGAGAGGTGCATCCTGTCTTTGTACAGTCTGGCATTTAAATCTGGGAGTCTCTACTGCCACACTGACATAGCCCACAAATCCCTAACCTGGAATTTGTATTTATAAACTGTTAGGTTGAATAACACCTTCCTTGCATCTCTAGGAGGAACAAACTGCTGTTGACTAACATGGCTACTGACGGCACTCACATTTCATATCCATATATATTCAGATTCTAGAGCAAGACCACGCTGCTAACCACATTATTTCTTTAAAAAAAAACCGTATCTTTTGTAGTAAAAAGGTGCAATATATGGAATTAGAGAGTTCTTGGGGAGATTGTGAGGTAGTTTTTTGGACTTGTTTCTAATTTTTAATGCTTCATATCAAACGCCTAAGGATGTAAAGCTGTAACATGCCTTGGTTTTCAACAAGCATTGTACTGTGGTGCTTCAGTGGATAATATAAAATGCTGTAACTCATTGTCATAGGTTTTTAAATTCAGGGGCCTTCTGCTAGTAGGAATGCCCTAAATCTCATGTCCTTTTCATTATTCAGGAATCATTTCTGTGCTACCGAGTTTCTTTGCTCAATACCGTCTGCTTTTTCTGTTGTGATTAACCTCCTCGTCTTGTTTTTCATTATGGAGGATCTTACTTTCATCTGTGTAGAATCTGAAAGAAGTAACTGTAGTTATCATCCATCATTGTCACAGTAATCTGTGAGCCATCTGTGTTGGTGTACTTTTTCCACAAAAGTCTAAATAGCTGAGAGCGTAAGAGAAATTGAGAAGGTTTCTTGCCCTTACATTTTTTGACGTTATTTTAAACTTTATTTCTTATCCTGATTGATACCTAAAGTCTGTTCATCAGCATTTATTTGGGTTACCTTTGAAGATGGTCCTCGAAATTACCTCAGAGGATTTTTAAAAAGTAACTACTTAGTGCACAATTCGTATTTTAAGTAAAAGCAAAATAAATGTCTTGCAATACTAGGCATTGTTAGGTGAGCGTTATAAAATGTATAGAAATATACTTTCTGCTGCAGTTATGGCATATAATGTAAGTCAGGTCTTCAGCTGTCCAGTCCCATGTCTTGTAACCAGTACTTCCAAAACGAGGGGTTTAAGAAAGAGCAGCAAGAATCCAGTTTACAAACCGTTACGGAGTTGTCTGAAGAGGCAGTTTTATCTTAACCCGTGAGTTTCACTAGAACGTGTCTGGAAGCATAAGAGTTGTTGATTTTAATACTAATGCAAATGACCTTTTTTTTTTTTTTTTTTTTCCCCATATGAGCAAGCTCTGACCTGAACGTTATTTAGAAGATTGTGAGCTCTCTATGGCAGTTACGTTTTTCTTCTCTCATTTTAAACATGCTGATTTTCCATATAGCCAAAAACTCCCGTGTTATTGCTGTAAGCGATGGTAAATGCCAATAGCTGTTGTAGCTTCTTTAAACAGGTCATTGTTTAGTATACTTTCATGATATACCCTTCTATAAACAGCTTTCTTATTCTTATCTCCTTAAATAGAAAGAACTTTACTTGTTACTATTTTATTAATTTAGTGTCCTTCTGTCGTCTTCTAGGTGTTGATCAAAACTGACTTATAACATTGAAACATGTCTTTTGGCCATCTTTACAAGGCAGGTGTTTTCATTACATTCCTTACAACGTGGCCAAACTTAGGCAGATAGTTGTTATTGAATCCAGAAAAAAATGGGGTGTTTACATATTCCCTGTGTGTTCATTTGTATTTGTCAGCAGACTTTGTTTCGCTTCTTGTTTAGTCTTATTTGCCTTCATTCTGTGGCAGTCTTGATCAAGCCAGTTTTCGTCTATATTCTGTCCACGGCCAAGAAGCATGGACTTACTGATCTTGTCCTGTCATGTTCATTTACCATATTAAACTCAGAATTGTCCTCCTTTTGGGCTAAGATAACCCCCCCCCCCTTAAAAAAAAAAAAAAGTTATGCATGGAAAGTTATTTTGTATTAAATACCTATATGCAATAGACAGTAATGTTATAAACTGTTCACTCGTGATTGCCTGAAGTCTGATTCTTCTGCGAAGCTCTATCATTGTTTTTATACCTCGCACCTCTTTATTTAATTTCTCTCCTTGTATTCTTTACTGCTCATGTTAGATGGCATTTCAGTGCATCTAGGATAAACGTTTTGCTTTTTCTTAGCAGGACCCCTGGTCTCCTTGCCAAGTCTGTAGACCTCCATCCCTGGTTTTGGTGGATAGTATTCCATATTGATAGGAATAACTTAATAGTTAATCCAGGAGGCAGCTGCTCCTTTGGCGTAGTTTTACTTTTCAAGGTCATGTATTATGGCACTCTTAACACCATCTGCCAACACTGCTGACATTAGTGTAATGTACAGTTTTTCACTCCCTGGAGTTTGTATGATGATGAGATTGCACCTGTTCCTTCAGTGGTGTAATTGGATGGTATGTCGAAGTAAACTGTCATCTCATCTATATTTCCCTTTTGGCTCAGCAGATCACGGTGTTTACATAATCTAATCGCATACTGCTGGAATGCAATGAATTTTTCGGTGAAGCAGGAGGTAATGTCAGCAGAGCAAAGTTCTCTGCTGTAGGCCACTGTTCATATGCAACAGCTATTGGCCTTAAATTCTTGCTGTGGAACATCTGTGCTCATGCTCTTTCTTGAGCTTTCAGTTTTATTTCCTGCGTAACTGGGGCTTCCATCTTTTCTTTAAATATGGACAAATTCCACAAAATCTACAACTTGTCCTGTTTCTGGAAAGCATCCTCTTTTGGGTTCACTGCATCATTTCCCCATCAAGTTAGCATATAAAAACTTATGTTTTGTTTTCATCTTCTTGTGTTTCTCGGTCACGTATTTGCACCTGGCCTTGCAGCATGTACAGTATCATTGTGAGTCTAGAACTGGCATTTTAACTTCTCCTTCTGTCTTTTGGTATGTTCCCTTTTGCACTTGTAAGTCTCATCTCCAAATGATCTGCCATTTCAATCCGCTTGTTACCTTCATGGCAACTCATAAAACTGCCAGAAATGACAGTGGAGTTCTCTGAAGTGCAGCACAGCCCGGCTTTCCGAGGGAGGGAGGGAGGGAGCAGAGGAACAATAACGCTGTGCTGTCTGTCATCCGGTGGCTGGTGCCAGGCTTGGGGTGTGCCTGTGCTCCCTCTTCACTAGGGGGCCTCTCACACCGCGCACTCCTGCCACATTAACTCAGGAAGAGCACCTGAACTAAAAGGTGCAAGACTGGAGCCTTAGTATTTTTTTTTTTTTTTTTTAAGTTAAACTACTTGGGGAGAAGAAAGCTTGTTTACCTTTTCTGGTAAACACAGTAGGTGACTGCAAGAAGTAGGCAGGCTTTTCTGGAATTAGAATTACAACTACTCAGCCAGTTTTCCTGGTACTGAAGTAGTATTAAGTATAGTTTTCTGTCTTAACTCCTGGAATTTTTTCAGGATTGGTTGTGTGTGCGTCTGTCTTTTCTTGGGGGTGTGTGTGTGTGGTTTTTTTGTTTTTTTTTTAAAGATGTTTGCAGACCTTTCTTATGTTGATATGTTAGTTTACTTTTGTTAGCAGCACCGTTTAGGAAGCTGTGGAAGGAACTCTGCTGTATATACACTACCTCATGAGTGAGTTTCTTGCTGCCTTTAATCTCTGTCAGTGCCTCCTCTTTTTTTTTCTCCGTGAGTCCTTCTCAGCTTATTTTCTGGTGCAGGCTTTGCTTTAAAAAAACAAAATAAAACCAACCAAAAAAAAAAAACACTTTGGTTTTCTTCAGTACTTAGATCAGACTCTCTTTTGTGTGAGTAATCTACCAGGGACTCCAATGTAAGTGAAAGGAAGACAGATAGGGAAGTGGGGTTGGACATGAACAGCTTTGCTTTACAGCCGGCTATATCATACTCCAGAAATAAAATACACTTAGTGTGTAGTACAAGCAGGGTAAAGAGAGAGAGCAGCCCTGTCTGCATGGATCTGGAAGTTTCTGTCTTTGTGTAAAATGTAAGGTGTTTTAAGCTGCTCTCTGGTAATTTCTGCTGGAAAATAGCGAGGGGTTGTAGCTCAAAATCCATCATATTGCTACTCAGTTTTTTTTCTACTACTGCTGGCTTTTAGACATCAGTCTGTACTGTACACTCCCACTTGCTGTAACCCATGTTGATCTTGTGCCCAAATTTTGCCTGGTCGCTAGGAGAACTGTTTTGGTTTTTCCTACTGTCTTATAGATGCTCTGAAGAATGTGGAAAAAAATAGCTCTTGCGTGTATACTTCTTCTTGACTCTTATGCAGACGGTTGGCTCTTGCATAACATGAAGAGTTTGTATTCAGTGGTTCCAGGCAAATTAAATCTCTATTAGTCCGAGTGAATTAATCAGCTCACCATCTGGGCTGGTCGGCAAAGCTCCTTTGTCTTCAGCCGAGTTAAACCCAGCACCTGCCCACCGGGTGGCAGCATTTTGTTGCAGCCCTTCTGTTTGGGTGCTGAACAAACTGCGTTTTTTGACAGAATTTGAAGAGCAACTACATCTCATTATTTTGATCTGGCTGTTTTAATTGGCATTTTGAAAAGTGGCTGGACGTTCTTCATAGGCTATATGCCAAATTATATTAAAAGTTAGAAGTCACTGAAGGTAGTATGGCATTCATCTTGGAGACTGGGAAGACTTGAGAGGTTTCCTTTTAATCCTTTTGTAGGAGTACAGTGTGATAATAAATCTTGGATGGGGAAAATGAAGAAATAATTAGAAAAGCTGATCTGTTTGTTTAGTTTTTATTTTTATCACAACCACCACCTGTCCTCTTTTTCCTCCCCCATCCCCAGTAGTATTCTGACACATTCAACAAAGCTTCCGATCTCCTTCCCGACTCATGATGCACACAACGTGCCCTTTGTGTAGTGAGATTTGTTCCATAGAGAGTAATGCCAGATGGCAGCCGTTTGGCTTAAAGGGTTACATGGGAAAGAACTAGAGGAGGGGAGAATTATAGGAACTCTGCTGGGCTTATGAATGCTAGCCGGTTATCGCACTTGGAACTTCTGCTTCTTAGACAATATGGAGGCATAGTCCTTAGAACTTTTCTCCTTAAGAGAGCTATGTTTAGTTCAATGTAAGTTTAAAAACAAACAAACAAACATCAAATCCTTGTGTTCTGTCTATTTTTCACAGAAAATTCTTCAGATTGTAGAATTTAGATGCCAAATTTTAGATGCCAACTTTTTTCTCTAGGTTAAAGTAAACATAAATCTGACAGGAAAAGCTGTGGGAAGGGCCGCATCGGTAAGCTTTAACTGATACTGTACAGGAAGGGCTGTGGCATCAAGCACTGTGTGCGGTTTTTTTATTCTTACTTTACTTACATTAATATGCTGCTTTTTTTGAAAGGAACAATGCAGAAGAGCTTTGCGTTTTTCTAATAACTGTTTGAGTTAAAAATGTTCTAGCCTTTACAAAACATTAATGTAAAGCCTTTTATGTTGCTAAGGGCTATTAAATCTTGAGACTATCAAGACCAACAGCTCATAAAAGTATTAGAGATCATTTGCATCTGTAACTTCATAGGGCACGTTTTGCGTACACATAACGTTCAGCCTTTCTTAACTGAGTATATTTCAGTTCTGGTTTTTACAGACCTCCGTTAATGTGGAGATTCGACCAGTGAGGACTAAAGTTGTCTTTCTCTCTCTCCCTAGTCTGACCTGAAATGTGTCCAGGATGCAAAAGGAGGCTCTTTCTACAGGGACCATTGTCCTGTGTTAGGTGAGTTGTAGATAAAGTAAATTTATCTTGGTTTGTGTTAATTTTCCTTAGTCTGGATTTCTGTTTCCTTTTTAAACATCCTCTAAAGGAACTATCTTGTATAGTGAAATACAAATGGTAGCACTTTTGTGCAGTGTGATGGTTTGTGTCTTAATAATAAATTGTAGTTCTTTTCTAAATGTGTTTGTTGTCAGTGTGCCAAGTGTACAGCAAGAGAGTTCTTAAGTATTGACTAAGTAATAACTTGCATTTCACGTGAACGTTGTGCACTATGTTTCTTTGAGGTAGCTAAACATATCTCTGCTTTCTGATAGAACTGTTAAAATATTTAGGCATGCTCAATGAAGTACGGTATACATGGCCATAAAGAGAAAACATTTGAACTTTCTGTGAATGGCACCAGATACCAGCCTATGGCTCTGACAGTGAGTAAACTCACGAGAGTCTTCTCTCATCAGTTATCATAGCTTGATGTATGTGAACATGCTCTTTTCCTACAGCTGATGACTTTTTGCTATGACACGTCTTTTGAAAGTAGACATTGTCCAGGAAGAAGGTTTTTTGCACACGCAAAAAAAGAAAGCAAAATTTTTTTTGGTTTGTAGCCATCTCCCTACTTATAGGATTAAAGACTTTCATCGTTGGTCATTTAGGAGCTGGTCTTTTGCCAGTGCTTGCTTCCCCACATTTGGGGATTGACCCAATTCCAAAAACCACCTTCGGTGGACATTCTGCATATCTTCCAGCCACTGAATGGGTAGATGGCACTGTGTGCATGAGTCTCTTAAAACTGTCAGAGCTTTTATGTATTTCTAGATGTCCAGCAGTGTGTGGTAGTTGCTACCATCCTAGTTAGAGGCCACAGTGGAGCCTGTCAGGGCTGTTTACCATATGCTGCTTTTATTGCTACTCATCTAGAAGCCTTAATTAAGAAATACTAAATTTCATACTAGGGGTGCAGAATTCCTTTCTGCCTGTTCACTCTCTCTTTGCTATTGGCCAGTGTAGTTTTAGAGCAATTGAGAGGTCTTGTGGCTCTTAGTTCTACTTGAGAAATTAGTTTCTGTTCTTTAGATGGTTTGGACTGTTACTGTGGTCTCACGGGCGTTTTCCCTTTATTCCATTTTAGGTGAGCAAAATGGTAACAGAAATCCTGGTGGGCTGCAAATTGGTGACCTTGTAAACATTGACCTTGATTTAGAAATTGTACAGTCTTTGCAGCATGGTCATGGAGGATGGACTGATGGCATGTTTGAAACCTTAACAACAACTGGAACAGTTTGTGGCATTGATGAGGATCATGACATAGTAGTACAGTATCCAAGTGGCAACAGGTTTGTTACATACCTTTTATCATTCGTTCCTCAAACTTTCTTTGTCTTCAGTGTTTGTGATGGCTTGGTGTGAGAAACTTTATGTTCTCCTGTTTGGGTCTGTCAAAATTTCTTTGAGAATGTTTATACTCCTTCTACAATGTGCAGTGAGGACTTACATGTTACAGAAACTTTCTGTACTTTAGAGATGCCTTAGTGGGAAAAGAACGTTTGCTGTTTCTCACGCTTGGTGAAATTTTGAGTCCCAGATACCTGAATAAAGTTGTGGAATATCCAATTTCCAAACAAATAATGTTTTAAACAGTGTTTTTCTTTTATTTACACAGTATCTCATGGTTCCAAGGGGAATAGTAGCAGCCATGCATTGTGGGTTTTCAGGAAAGTGATTTAAGAGCGCTTTTCTTTCTCTGTTGGGGATCTCCTCGGATATGTATATGGAGATCTTGTCGTGATGCATACCCAGCATTTTGTTGCCTAGAGGAATGTTAGTTTGTGTAAATATGGACCAAGAATGGGAAGTGCTGGGGAAGATGCAACAAAGCTACTCCCTGCAAGCTAGTTTAGGTTTGAAGCTTGAGGAGCTGCATCTTTGCTAATGTGATTCAAACCTAGCTCTGCTGCTGCATCGGAGCTTATTTCCTTCACGTGGCTTTGTATTGTTGCCTTGCTCTCAAGAGCTAGTCTTGTCTTTGAAGAACAGTTGAATGAAATATGATTTCAATTGTATGTGAAGACTGACCTGTTCACATTGTCCAGAAAGGGTTAAAGCCACATTATTCCTTCAGACTTTCCTTCAAGGCATTGCAATTTCTTGCTAACATTAGTAAACAAATAATGCAAAATGAAGCTCTTTTCTCAGCTAACACAGCCTGAAGGGATGTGAGTGCTTTTTGCTCTGACAGTCATGGCTGCAGGGCCAGAGGAGCTCATCTTTCTTGGGGTTTCCTCGCTGACTTTGTCCTTTATAGAGATCACTTGATCCTCCTCAGCTAGATCTGATAGTCGGACACGAGTCAGCCTCAGACCCAATGACACATAAAGGACAGACCACAGTGTTATGTATGAGAATATAAACCAACATAGAAACAGCTAAGTGCCTGTAACCCAGTAAAACATATAATACAAATTAGGATTGTTTGGTTAAAAATTTAGTTGTATCTAGGCCATGCGTTTGGTTGCAGAATCTTCTTATGATTTGATATTGCAGCTTCTGACTTGGCAGGGGAGGGGGCGAAATTCCGTATTTTTCCCATATTATTTCATGACAGTGTAATCCTTTGTGAAGCATCTTGAATCTTTCAGTCTCCAACCAGAATGACTCTTCTCCTTTTCTCTCTGCAAAAACAAACTGCATGGCTGCTTTCAGAGCTAGTGTTTTCTTGTAACGTCCCCTTGGGTTGTGAGAACAGGGCAGGAAGCGTCTTCTTTGCTTTAGAAATCTTCCTCTCTGAAGATCACCCTTGCAGTATTCAACTAATGATTGACAAACAAGTTTATGTGCAAAAAATGGTTAACAACAAATATGCCCTAGTATCTAATCACAGAAGATTCTTAGGCATACAAGCAAAACCTTATCCAATAGATTATTTTTAAATGTATTAATGTATTGCATATTTAAAATCCACTTTAAATGACTTTTTTTTTTTTTTTAAAAAAAGGTGGACATTTAACCCAGCTGTTCTTACCAAAGCTAATGTTGTCCGAAGTGGAGATGCTGCTCAAGGTGCAGAAGGAGGTACCTCACAATTTCAAGTGGGTGACCTTGTTCAAGTATGTTACGACTTGGAGCGGATCAAGCTTCTTCAGAGAGGTCATGGAGAGTGGGCTGAAGCAATGCTTCCTGTAAGTAGTTGTATGTTTGTGTACACAGAGTAGTAAAACTTGCAAAATATTTGTAAGTATGGGCTGGTAATAATATATGGAGGTTGTAGGAGTTAAGATGACACCTTTCTAAATTACAGAAAATGTATTTCTCTAAGCACAGCATAATACTTGCTCAGTTGTTGTAGTAATCTGTTTATCCTGATGAAATGTAGCTAAAAGTGTTAATGACTGTACTGTTGTAAAACTGACTTCGTAAAATTAGTCACTTGTTATAACGTTCTGATGTCTAAACATTTAATTTTGATGTTATATGCGTTTGACTCTTTCTTCAATGCAGACTTTAGGTAAAGTCGGTCGGGTCCAGCAGATCTATTCAGATAGCGACTTAAAGGTAGAGGTTTGTGGGACATCTTGGACGTACAATCCAGCAGCTGTCTCAAAGGTGGCATCAGCAGGATCTGCTATAAGTAATGCATCTGGTGGTAAGTTTGAAGAATAACCACTAATAAATGTATGACAAATATTTGTGTCAATTGAAAAACTGATAACTGCTAGTTATGCAGTTTCTATGCAAGGCTGATAATACTCAAACTTGGAGTCTGGCTAATCTAATATTATACTTCAGTACAAGGGAGGAACTTGCAATAGGTATGTAGTATGTATACTTGATAGTATGCAAAAGTTCCAAATGGAATTTGGGGTTCTATTTGAGTACAGACTACAAAGAAGTCTTTGGTCTGCTCTAAGGGCATTAAAATTGAAATGATTAAAAGAGACATTAGATTGGAATGAGACTAAGGCATGAAAAGAGTGTAGCAATCAGCTAATTTGTTCCTTGTTTTAAGGTAGTGTTGGATAGCAAGCTTAGGTGAGGATTTATTGCAACCTGTTGTTCAGATTATAATTTTTGTCTTGGTTTATATAGATTAAAATATATATATCCTATTGGAATTAGCCAAAGTGGTTAATCTCATTTGAGGTTTGTTGAGCCTGCTCTAATTCATTTCTTATGGTCTATAGGCTTTTTCTTTGTCATAACTAGTTGTGGGTTTTTTTTGTGTTTTTCCCCCTCCCTTTATATTAATGGCAAGAAATTTTGCTATGTGATTTTATTAGGCTTTTTCATAGGGATTCTGTTTTTGAAGCGTATCTACAGTGAGTTTACTGCAAAAGAGACAAAATCACAGTGGCTGTAAAACTATAGTTAGAAGGGCAATGTAACTGAGTGTTTTAAATCGTGGAGGCTATACCCTAAGTTAACCTGGAAGAGTAAGAAATCTGATATACCCACATGTAAATTCCACTTTTTTTTCTTCCGTCTTTATAACTTGTGGCAGACCACCTCTCTGTGGTTAAATCTTTGTTTTGAGTATTTGTTGTGGCAATCTCAACTATTTCAAGGTCATTGAGGTGCAGCACTTAACTCAGAACTGAATCATGACTTGAAGGTGCCGTTTTATGGTGGCTTGTTGGTTACTATGTACGTGTCTTTAGAACCATGACAGATTCAGCTGTTATTTTTCTGTTTTTCTGTGATTACAATTTTAGGTCTTAATTGTCCTTTGTTTAATAATTACAGAGAGATTGTCGCAGCTGTTGAAGAAATTATTTGAAACCCAAGAATCTGGAGATCTCAATGAAGAATTGGTTAAAGCTGCTGCCAATGGAGATGTTGCTAAAGTGGAAGACCTGCTAAAGAGACCAGATGTGGATGTGAGTGTTCTGTTTTGGGGACTAATACTAAAGGCTTTGAAGCTGTCATAGAATCCCCTTGCAGTCAACAGTGTCTGCACAGAACTAATACAGCTGGTTCCAGTATCTGTTCTCCCATTTCTTTTCCTATGAAACATGGTGGAAATGAAAATACTGCTTTACACACGTTTTCACTGGGCAAACTTTGTGTGTTCTTGTGTGACATGAATTAAAATGCCTACCAGTTTATCCTTGCCAGAGTTGAGGCAGAGAACGCCCACAGTTAGTGAGAGGTATTCAACTTCTTTTGTTTTGAGGGGATGTAAGAAAGGAGGGTAGTCATTTTGCTTGCTTGTCTTTTTTTAACTAGTGTAATAGATCTAGCATTTGATTGAGGGAATGCATTTTAAAATCACAATCCCATGTTTTTCTCATTACTGTAGCAGTAATTCTTTGGAGATAAGAGATTGAACTCCAGTAGTTCTGAGGGTTAATTTATAGCTGAAAGTTATACTATTGTCTTGCTTCTTTCCTTCAATCTAGCTAATGGTATAGAAATGAAATAGAGCAGACCTAATAGATCATCTGTCCATTTGTAGCAGAAAGGCAGCTATGTAAAGATTGTTTCATAGGATGCTGCTGGTTTGTTTTCTAGTACACTTCAAATTTATGCTGCTGTAGTGTCCCATAAATATGTATATGTATTTGTTGCAAATTATCTATTTATATACTTCCAGGTGAATGGACAATGCGCTGGGCACACAGCTATGCAGGCAGCTAGTCAGAATGGCCATGTTGACATTTTGAAGTTGCTTCTGAAGCAGAACGTGGATGTAGAAGCAGAGGTAACTTAAATACTTAAAAATACTCTTTGTCCCCTTAAGCACTAAGCTTTCCTACATACAGGAATAATAGTTCTATTGCAGTTCCCTTCCAGCACTAATTGGTACATTCTTCTCTTTTATAGGTAGCTTTTCATGTCTTTATGTAGCGTATGAATATATTTCTAGCACTTGGAAATACAAAGTGTTACAGGTGGCAACGCAGAGCTGCCTTTGCTTTTCTGGTTGGTAACTAAATATTAAACAAATTACATTCTACAATCTTGTTTACTCTATAATGTGTTTTAAATGGTTTATAAGCAGGCCACAAAGAAAGGAATAGGTTACTATCTTTTTATTAAAAAATTGCCTTTCTTAGAAGTAGGATCTTACAAAGTGTCATGCATATTTAGTATAATACGTACATGCTTACACTGTGCTTAAAAACGTGTGTTTGGTATATCCATTGCTGTTTTGTGGGGCATGAATGTGTTGTGTTTTGGTTTTCTAGTAGCTATGAATTCTGCAGTGAGCAGAATTCTGATAAACAGAGAATGTTTTTTCTGTGTCTGCAGCTGCTTTCTTGTGTATGTGTGTCCCTTTTCTTGCTTTTTGTTACCTGTCAAGTTAGGAAATGAGTGAACTGTATTTCATGCTATCGATGATCGATATACACGTATAAGGCATTGAAGTCATCTGAGAAAGGTATTTAGTTATGTTTCCGTGTTGCTGCAGCCCATTCCTTACTAATTGTATCATCATTTCCCTTGTGTAAGAAGGTGAAATGGATCTTGAATTGGTTTAAATTTCACTTAAAGGTTAAATTAGGCCACATAGGAAGAAAAAGTCTTTTTCATTTAGGAAGTAATTCACTTAATCCCTTTTTGATAAGTTGCACTGTAGACTGTGCAGTATTCTCTGTTAATTCTTGAGAATTGCACAGAACTTATTTTGGCTTTTCTGTTAGTTGAATAATAAGCTTCAGCTGCATTTATTCTAATAAATAAGTGGCCAGCTTGATAGTATTAGATATACAAACTGAGAACTGGTTTTTTATTTTTCCTTCCTCCTCTTTGGAGAAAGATATGGGAAATGTAAGGAATTAAAATAAAATTGATGGGAAACTACGTAATCACCTTTCTTACGGAATTCTTTTCTCTGGAGGTAGATTTTATGGAAACAGTCTTTAAAATGAAATCGATCTTGAATTTGTTGCAAGGAATGGGGAAGTTCTGCATACTGAATGTGTTACTGCTTTTTTCCTATTTGAATCCTTTTTTTCTTCCCTTCCTTGCATTATGCAATAGATAGGTTATGGCTGAAATGCCTGTATTTTTCTTGGTGCATGCACCCACATGTGTGTGTTTGCACACGCACACACAGACATATAGAAACAAAAGTCTGTATTGCAGACTACTGTAACTTTTTTTTAGATGCAAGAAAAGGTGGAAAACTGCTTGTACTAGTGTGATTATTTTCCCTGACTAGCCTCCTACTAACCGCATTGCAAAATGTCAGTATTCACTTCTTTAACACCTTTAATAATGTAAAATATTATTTTAGCCATCTAGAACTGTGTGAGCTTATGTGTGATTGTAGTGGTTGAAGCCTGTTCTTCATTTCCTTTATTCCTTCTCAGTAGGAGAATGCAATAGGCCACACTCTGCCTTTGGCATTCTGACAAAACAAATGTTGCATCCCCAACTATGATTACCTACCCTGTTTCTTACATGTAATATTCAGTTAAGAGAAAGTTTCCTGTTCTTAAGTAAAGCAGGTTTGAGCAGAAGGTAATGCAATATCTTTGTGTAAGGACTGCCTTACAATAGCTTTGCCCAAATGGAACACAAAATGGAGGATTTCTTCTGCTTAAGTTTATTAGAATGATTGTTCATGAGACAATTAACAGTTCACTATCTAACAGTGTATTGTAACAGTTGCATTTTGAATTTGTTGTGTCTCGTTTATACATAAAGCACTGATATTGCAGATTTTGCTCATTTTGTGAAATACGAGAAAGATTTGTCAAACTTCTTATTCAGAATATAAATCAAGTCTTAATAGAATGCTTTGAAGTTTGTAGTGTGCCCAGTCATTGTTAGAATACAGAAAAATAATATGCATCAGCTTTTAGTTTTATATTATATTTCGTATACAGAAGAGTCGTAACATGCTAGTACACTAATGAAGTGATGACAGTCCTTGGAGCTAGAATTATTTTTACATGCACAAATACAAATTTTTAGTTTATAAAGGGTTTTTTTTTTTTTTACTGAATGGTAAAGGTGGCTGAAATTTTATACTGTGCATACTTTTTCTGTGGTCTGATTTCTGTGAGGTAGCATCATTTTAGAAGTGGTACTTTCACTGTGGTACATACCATACACTTCAAAACTACATTAAGTTGTTTTTCATCTGTACTATGGGATCAAAGCTGCAGTAAAGTGATTCACTGCTACTTTCTCTGCTAATGTAAGAAGGGAGTTAGAGGCATTAGAGAGGGAAGTCAACACGCTACTTGAACAGCTTCAAAATAACATAACTGATAGTTAGCTAGTAGAATTGTAAGTGTTCCATTATCTCAGGCTTTGATAGTATCGTAACGCTAGCGTTAAGAATACTTCCAAGGATTTTATTTGAATTCTGAAAACTTTTTCATGTAACCTTGAGCTGTTTAAATAATGATAATACTTGTACTTAATTATATGATAATAATATGTACTTAATTATTTGATTGAATTATATGATAATATCATAAAATGCCAGTAAGCAGAGAGCAAAAAAATCAGTCTCTTACTTGGCTGTTGCAGCCTGTGGCATGGAAGGAATGGATAAAAATGCTTAGCTAACCTACTTTAAAGCTAACTTGGGTATATTTGCACTTATAGTCACTGCTGCAGAGAATTTATATTCATTGTGACATTTTCTGGGGATGCCCACAGTGTTGTCTGCTTTTATGCTGCTGTCGCTGGAAATGTTGAGAGCTGGTGACCTCTGTTTAGTCAGAAAATGTTTTGTTACTGACAAGAGCTCAAAGAGCTCCTGGTAGTATTACATAGTACCAGTAAGTTGCCTTCTAGTCTTCCCAGAAATCGGTGAGTATCAGTTACTCTATGCTGATACTACTTGACAGTATTATGTTTTTGATCTGTATAGAAATATATAGTGTTTTAATACTTAGACTTATATCTAAGTGTAAGTCTTAGGACAGATGTTTAATTAGCTGTTAGCTTTTTCTAGGTATATTAATATGCTATTGCGGAAGAACTGTGGGATTTAGCTCTTGAGAAACCTGTTGAGATGCTAGTGACAAATAATGCATGTGCTTTCTTGGACCTCTGCTTGTTAAAGCAGATGTAGGAGTTTTATGTGTTGAGGTTTTCATAAATTCAATGTTTTGTGTCTCAGAATTATAATATGTTTAAGACTATAAAATATTCAGTAAATTATGGGTTTCATCAGTATCTCTGTACTTTGCAGACTGTAAATACGAATGGACAAAAATTATGCTCTCTAGAAATAAATGCTGTAGCATTTTAACAGTACTGTCATGCTGTTTGCAAGTTTCACCTGGCAGTGTTCAGTATAACTAACAGAGAAATACTGGGAGAAATTCCCTTTCTGACCCTTTCCCCTTCTGAATAGACATGCTTTGGCTTTTTCTGTGTGCTTGTTTTAGATGAACCTGTGAAGGAGTCTTGCTATCTTGAAAGGTAATTCAGTAGCATGAGTTGATATGGCAGACACATAAATATAAATCTCTTATTATCAGACATTATTGAGGTTGCTGTTTACTGCCATGACAATCTTTAATAAAAATGAGATGCGTATTTCCTAAAAGACAAATTTGATAATTAGCAGACGTCTCAAATATTTTTTTAAATGCTGTAAATAGTCTCCTTGTTATCTTTTTGTGCAAATGGAATTTATCCTGAGAACTGTTTGTTCTTGCATTGATATAAAGTGTATTAGAAATGTGTATTACATATAAGTAAAATGATCTCAGAAAAACATTGCTAAAAGGCAAGAAAATTATGTGAGAAATTTGACTTTCCCAAGAGGGATTCTAATGACATCCAGTGCACCCTTGATCAGTCATGAATTTATCTTGCTTAGCATTTTCAGTATTTTCTATTATCGAAATTAAATTTTGCAAATACGTAGTAGTATTCCACTGTGCACATAAATTTGATTAGAATATCATCTTATGGAAGCTCTACAGCATTGGAATCTGTAATATAGTTTTCATTTTACTTATCACTTTTATATGCTATCATTCATATATATATTTGATTAATATTTAAATATGTGTCATGTATTACAGTCCACTTATGGATGTTAGAATAACTTTAATTGACAGATTTAAGACTCTTGTAACTTGAGCGTCCATTCAGATGAAAATGAAATAAACTGAATGTAATCAGAACATTAATGCTGTGACTCAGAACCTCTTTAATTTGAGTCACAATCCCAGATTTCCTTTGGAAAGCCTTTATTAGCTAAAAACTGGCACACACACATGTGCAACACTGATAATTATTAGCCTAATTATATAAGCAAAACACTACCCAAGTTTCTGATGAAGGCATCACACAGATCCAGAACAAAAGTTGCATGATATAAAATATCAATATCATTGAATATATATGTCTGTAGTAGCTGTATGTTTGTTTTCAGCTACAAACAGGCTTTTCATCCTCTGTTGCAGGTGGTTTGATTGATACATATGTAGATATATATTTTTAATTCAGTATTTGAGTGGTATCCTGATTATCTAATTTAATCTAAAATGGAAAGAAAAATATGTACCTTGATTCAGCTTAAATTAATCTCTTTGCTTAAATGTAAAGGAAATGTGGGATATACTGGCACAAATTAATGTTTCTACTTTAGGACAAAGATGGAGACAGGGCAGTTCATCATGCAGCTTTCGGTGATGAGGGTGCTGTGATAGAGGTTTTGCACAGAGGCAGCGCAGATTTAAATGCTCGCAACAAACGCAGGCAGACTCCACTTCATATTGCTGTCAACAAAGGTCATCTGCAAGTTGTGAAGACGTTACTGGACTTTGGCTGCCACCCTAGTCTCCAGGTGAAGTAAATGTTGATACAGATCTATTTGTTAGTTATTGAATGATATGATTGTAGATGCTGTGTGTGTGTATATATATATGTGTGTGTGTGTGTGTATATATATATATATATATATATATATGATAGAAGACTTAGAATAATAGGGTTGAAGGAATGGACCTTGTGAGGCTGTCTGTCTCGGCCTCTGCCCCAGCATGTGATCAGTAAGAAAAATGCTGTTATATGGATCTGTTTACTTGACAGCTAGATGGGCACCTGATTTATTCTAGTCATTTGATGCTAGTATTTTCACAGGCTGTGTGTTTATCTGTAATTGTTAACTTGCCCTACTGACTATTCATAGTATATACAATCTGCAGCTATTTGTTCCTCTTGCAAGCTACAGCTTTAGGAGTCTTCACATCTTTTTGGCTGATGATATCATGGAATGTTTTTTAAAGGAAACTATTTGCTGAATTGGCCTATCTTGATAGAACCGTCTAGCCAGATTCTCTTTAAAACGTACAAGCTTCTGTCTAAAAAGTCCACAGGTATAGACCCTCAAGTACCATAGTTGCACAGAAACAGTTTTATCTGTAGTGAATGCAGCAGAAGCTGTGACATACGGTAGAGGGAATTGGGAAGGTAGAGGAGAAACCTGCTATCAAATAAGGAAGCATCTATTTTCTGCACAAGCTGAATGCAGGCTCATGCGGTGCACAAGAAAAACAAATCTGAATACGACAGTTTGAAAAGACTTACACAAAAAAGGAAAAGCTGTAATGCCCTGGGCAAATCAAGATATAATGCAATAACACATATTTGCCTCCTTATTTTACCATAATTTAAAATTCACTAATTTTTTAAAGCTGTATATCCACATAAGACAAGATTGAGCAAGCTTTCTACTTTTTCAGTGAGTAGAAGGATTGTTCATTTATCTGTTTCCATCTGGCTTTATATGTACTATCTTGATCTTACTGAGGTTGAGCTTTTAGATAGCTAGCATCCATCCAGGCCCTGCTTAGCGTTTGTTAAAGGTTAGATATGATGATAATTTTGATGTATTGAGCCCAGTAAAGGGGGTCTGTGTGTATCATACAATGATATATGCTATATGGGTAGGCCAGACTGGGTATTTCTGACTTTAAATGACAGCAGTCTGATTGGAAATGTTCAGTGGAATGACACTATGAAACTTTGCCTGGAAAATATAATTGCCTTTGAAAATAATAAACTTTCAGATCCTGCATTTATGCTGAGGAAGTTTGATGTGCAAATCAGAGTAGACGATTGATTTTGATGGCAAGAGCGCAGGCGATGCGTCAAATTGAAGCATAACTGCAGTTTAACTGGCCAGCACTCTGCTTCCCAAGTGAATTCATTGTGTAAACAAAGACATGTTAGTCTACAGGCAGTAAACTCAAGAAATGCAGTCAATTAAACTGAATAAAAACTGTATTATTTAATTTTGGCAGACTGGTTTAAAAATGTTTCCATTTTTGGGCACTTTTTGTTTGGTAATTTGTGATTCTCACTGTAAAGATTGTAAAGATTCCTTTTCATATTACAGTATATTGCCAGAATGTTCAATTCCCGAATTTCTCAGTCTCCAGTTGAGTCAATGGCAGTGACAAAAGTCTTCTCTACTTACATGGTGTCAGAAATTTACAGGAAGCATAAACCTAGAGAATTTGCCTGTCGAGCAGCAAATGAACTTAAGTTCTCGACTGTTAGTCGTAGAGCGTTCATTTTCAGCCCAAACATTTGGGTCTTTGAATAAGTGACGTACAAATTGCTTCTTGGAATAAAAAGTATCTTTCCCTTATTTAGAAGATTTAAAAAGTACAACTACAGCAAGCTGAAAATCTTATTTTTTTGCCTGTTCAATAATGTAAGGAAATATTTCCGTATACTTTGTATAATGTATTATCTGGTATTAGTCATAAAGTTTAAAAGTTTTAAAAGCTCAGTATTGCTTATGACAATTGGCTTTTGCTCCATGGAAAATGGTCTACTTCTGTTAAAACAACACAGTTGCCTAGATGCATTATTTGGAATGCACCTTATATTTGGCCTCCTTATTCTTTTATTTTATGCAGTCTTTTTGTTGTTGTCTTTTAGGTGGTTAGTTACTGGTTCAAGATTAGTCCTCATAGCACAAAATTCCCTGCCTTCCCCTTGCCTGCCCAGTCTCTTGTCTCTTGCTGTGGCCATTGCTGCTGCCCTTCTATTACTGAGACACATTAACTTGAAGATCAGCTCAATCTGAACATGGGACATAGAGAAGGTGATGTCCACAATCAGCTCAATCTGAACATGGGACATAGTGTGGACATCACCTTCTCTAATGTCTTCAGTACTGTCAAAGGCATACCTAAGCTCTGGTTTTGAGTTCTGATGCTAATGCAGCTGTAGAAGGCTGGAGCCCTCGGTGAGCTTAGCTACTTGAGCGTTTGCAAAAACAGAGCAAGATCAGAAGCAGCTTGCTCTGAAGCCTAAAATATAGCTATACTATGGTAGGTATGAAGAACTGCTTTGTATTTGTGTAGTCAGTTTTTCTAGTGCTATTTAAGCATCTTTTCTCATTCCTTTCCTATTTTTGCTTTTGTTTTGTTTTTTTAAAATGTGGATTCATGTAAAAATTGATGCAAGCTATTTCTGGTTTTAGGATTCTGAGGGTGACACTCCACTCCATGACGCAATAAGTAAAAAGCGTGATGACATCCTTGCTGTATTGTTAGAAGCTGGAGCAGATGTTACTATCACCAACAATAATGGATTTAATGCTCTTCACCATGCTGCACTGAGAGGAAATCCTAGGTAAAGATTTGTCTTTTAAGATTATTTTGTCATTAAAAAAGGAAGGTAAAATTATGATATATTTTGAAAAAATCCTTAAACTTGCATGTAACTTTATTTCTTGAATTTTGATGTTGCTTAGACATGGATTATTAGCATGACTAATAGCTGGATAACCGTGTTTAGATAAAACTAGTCTGGTTAGTTTAACACTGTGTTTAGTTATCTGCATGTTCCTGGGGAATTCCACATAGTAGATGTAAAGCAAAATTTTGCAAATAAATATTTTGCCAAGAAAGAAATTGCTAAGTAAGATCTTGAGATAGGATTTAAAAAAAGAAAAAAAAAAAAAAAAAAAGTTTCAGCTCTTCTCCAATATTGGAATTGGGGAAGGCTTTGAGTTTTTAGAAGTACTTATTGGTGAATAATTATTAAAGATAATCATGCAGCTGTAAAGTGAACGTAGAGTTGTCATGTTAAATTGCATGTGACAGTACAAGAAACTTTGTTTCTTCAAGAGCATGTATAGAAGACATTTTGTTCAAGTTTTCCATAGCAGTTCATTTCAAAAATATTAATTTCAAGGCGTAATATGTTTTGCAGTAATTGCGTAGTATATGTCTACACTTCATCTTCAGTTCAGAGCTTTCAAAATGTGTTGTGTAGCTGGAACGGCATGGAAAAATTTAGCTGCATTGCTGATTATTACTTTATGGATAAATGTTCTTCGGAGCTGTCGTTCTAAAAAGACTGCAGTATTATGTTTTCATATGGTGGTGAATTCAGAATTTCATTTGCCTGAAATGTGTGTGTGTTGCTTTTCTACTATTAAGTTCTGCTACTTTACAGTTGAGTGCAGTTGGACAAATGAAGGTGTATAGTAACGTATGAGAATGAAATCTAGGTTAGTATCTTAAAACGTAACTATCGAGACTGATAGTTAAAAATAAACAAGTATTCATGTATATTAAATGGAATTACATTTCAACATAGTAAAAGTACTAGCTGGAAGTGACAGTAGGAACAATAAATGTGTCTGTGGTTTTCTGCAGTGGTCATGATAGCTCTATAAGTGAAGGCACTATCCTCTTGGCATTCTTTCAAGGCTAACTTGATAATTTATTCACATAATCTGTAGTTCATATTCTCGTAACAGCAGTAGCTAGGATTACTATTTTCTGTCTCCAGTTAGCTAGATTGAGTATTTTTTTGTTAGATTTTTTTATTGTGCATTGCTTTTCTTAGGCTTTTGTGATAGTTATGGTCTGTATTGTCATGATAGCAGTATGAGATGCAAGGAAAGTGCATGAAAAAAATCTCTTCATAGATATACTGAAGTTTTTTCTGTAGGTGAACATTTTAGAGACTACAGGCTTTTACCTTGATGGAGGGATCCAAACTGAGTCAGTTTGACAGTTGTCAGCTACCAAATGTGATGCATACTACAATTTTTTTCCCAGAATCCTCTTTTTTTTTTTTTTAACATAAGTTTGTACTGGAAAAATAGGATAATATTCCCAGTATTAGTGATTTGAATCTTCTGTAGGTTCCTCTTATACATCTGTTTTCGGTAGTGTCTGTTAGATACGTATTTTTTTGGCTGCAACTCTGTTGACGACTTATAAAACATGTAAAAAGAGAGAATCTTTTCTTCTTCATAGAATAGACAGTTTTATTTGTTCATGAAGTTAGATATTTTATGCATCAGCCTGGGAAGAAATGAATGGAAATAAAAATGAAAAATTCTGAAAAAGTCTCCCCTGCCCTTTCCCTCATGTCAGAGCACTGTAATCGTTTATTTCCTTTGGAAAGTGTATTTTATTTTCTTTCAGACTTCCAGTGGTGGTCAGTTGTTTTGTCGTTCTGTTAATTTATTGTTCTACCGTTGGCCTCTTTCTGAATTAAACCAGAGTTTTTAGATTTGTCGCTTTGTCTTTCTACATCTGCGATAGTACAATAGGTGTTACTGATCTCTTAAATGCCTGGAGCACAAATTATTTAAAACTTCTAAAAATAACTCTGTAAGCTGTAGCTTATAGCTGATCTGGGTCACAAACAGAGTGTAATATATTCTGCTGGAAAGCTTAGCTAAGTGCCTATCTTTTCATTAGTCAGAGTTTCGTTGTGGTTTCAAGCTATGGTGTCTGATGTACACGGCACAAATCCCCTGTAAGGTCATTTATAAATATAATATATATTTATACATATATTGTTATAAATAATATATTAGTATATATGAGTAAAATTGATAAAGTCCACATCCAAAAAAAGACGACGACTCTTAATTACTGAGAATAAGATAAGTGTTTGCTACGTGCTTATATAACACAATAATGAACTAGATTTCTGTAGAGTTTTTTACAGCTGATATCAAATGAGTGTTCAAAATTGTTTTCATTTTTAGTGGAAAACCTATACTCTGCTTCTTACTGAGTTCTGACCTTTGCTAACAGTAGGAAGAGATGCCTCCCAGAAAAAAAATGCACGCACACAAAGTGCTGAAGAGAACACTTGAAACTTTTTTCAGATTAAAATATAATCTAACTTTTAAACTCTTGGATACCATAGGTAAATATTAAAAGAAAGATAGCAAATTATTTTAAGTAGCTTAACTTTTTTATTTGCATTTGATGTTCCATGACAGTTTGGCAACGTCTTAAAGAAGTACAGTGTGTTTTGGGAACATCCTATTAGTGTACTCTTTCCTCCTTTCAATAACTTTCCTCTGTTTATACCTTTTAAATTGATACAGAAACAGAACTTTTTTTTTTAATGCTAGTATAATAATGTTGAATCTACAATGGAATTTAATCGGTTTATGCTGTAGGTAGGCTTGAATTTGTGCATGGGGCGTAAGAGCTGAAAAGAAACAAATTTATAATGAAATGTGGTGAAGTTGCAATTTTATTTAACAGGTGGTTTCTTGTTAATGATTTTTAGCTGAGTCAGTCTTATTACTTAAAAGTGTATTTGTTTTGGACTTTTTCATGGTAGTATGAACCTCAAAGCTTGGCAAACTTTGTCCCTTCTGCATTAATAAGACTTTTCAGACAGAACAGAGCAAAGAGTAAAATTTGAGAGCATTGTGCAGATTGGTCATATATTTCCCACATTGCCAGTTTTTGATAAAGTTTAATTTACTCAGATACCTGTGACTTCAGATTTTTGGCCTGAAGACGTGGCTGTGAAGTGTAAGCGCATTTTTATATCTGTTGCCACAATTGACTTGAGATTTGCATTGTATATTGTGAACAGAACTTTATTCACACTGTGGTTAACATCTTAAATATGTCCTACTTTTCGAACTGACCTTACGTTCAAAATCTGTACTACCAGTTCTTCAAAATAATAAATTCTGTTACACTTTAAATCAAAAAGAAAATATTGAGGTAAGATGCAGGTTTTATACGTGTTTATAAACTAGCAAATAGGAGATCATGTTTTAAAATGGAATTGTGATTTCCTGTGATTGTCATGTTGTTTAGCAGATCTGCTATTTAGTAGATCTGTCTTTGTTGTTAGTTTTGCTGATGGTTTGAACTGGTTGGCAGGGGAATTTTTGTCTGTAGCAATCTTTTCGAGAGAGGGGCATTCTCTAATGTACTTAGCGTGAAGGAGACTGTCAGGATTTCTTTTGTGCTATGTGGTCATGGAGGTCCTCACCAAGGCAGGTTGTGAGGTAACGGAGGAGTTGTAAAATTATTTTCTAAAATGGTAAAAGTGATCTCTGCCTTCACGTTTGTACTTCTGGCAGTAAGTATAGCTTGAAGTTCAGTTGAAGCTAAGTGTAAAAAAGCATGATCGTAAAACTTCATTAAAATATTATGTTCAGAAAATGCCTTAAAAGCAAACTTTTGCTCAAATGGAATTGGAGAAGGAATATAACCTCTATGAGCAGGCCTATAATTAGGTAGCAAATTAGCCTGTAGACAAATGTATCATCTTTAAATAGTAAATAATACACCCAGCATGTAGATGACAAGTACAGTTTCTACCCTGTGGAGTTCCCTCCCTTTTGCAAAATATTAGAAAATAATAATAATAAAAAAGGGAAGGGGAGAAAAAGTAGAGAGGTGCCCATAAATTAGATCTGCCCAATGGGAAAGTACATTGCAAATACTGTTTGTGTTTATTTCTTTTAAGTCAGGGTTGTGGATGTTTTGTTTGTTTTGGAGTTCTCTTATAAAGGGCAACAGAGTTGAGGGGGGGAAAAAACAGGAGACAGTAAATCATTGGAAAATGTGTTTATTTGAATGTTTGCCTGTCTTCTCATAAGTGTTATGAGATCAGGTTTTACTGAATGGAGACAGAATATTAAATACCAGTAGCTGTTTAATTAGAAATACAACCTTGAAATTTTGGAATACAGAAATTGCTAGGCCTTTTGTTACCTTCATTCTTCAGCTGTCTGCAATAATTTAACTCAACTGCAAAGAGGAGTGCGTAACAACTCTTAACAGACATAATGTCCGGTATTGAAAATATGAGCAGTCTTGTAGTGATCAATGCATAGCTACAGCTGGTTGAAGGGGACCAAATCCATTGAAGAGGTGATTTGGTTCCATTTTACCAGCTTTAGCAAAGCATTGGAGTGCAGGAAGGTTATAATTCAACAAAACACTAAGTTTCTGTACCGTACACAAACCATTTACAAAGAACCTGTGACTTTCTTCTGATAAGAGTTACGCGTTTTGTTTCTAGTCCATGCATATTTAACTTGTCTCATTAATTTGGAGATGGCAAAATGGAAAGCTGTATACCAGAAAGTCTTGTACCGTGTACCGCTTTGTTCTTTCCTTGAGGCTCTTTGGATGAGTCTCAAATCAAGAAATCGAGTTACAGTTTCAACTTTTTTTCTGTCTGCAGTAACAGAATTGTGGCATAGTGACGACAAACTGTATTCTTACAAGTTCTACTAATTTGTAAAGGTTCTTTGCCTCTTTTATTAAACTTTACTGGAAAAGGAAAGTTTTATTCCTTTCTCCCCTCCCCTCCCCCTGCCTCCCATTTTTTTGGCAGGT